GATCACCAGCAGAGACAGAACCTGATCACCAGAGAGACAGAACCTGATCACCAGGAGAGACTGATCACCAGCAGAGACAGAACCTGATCACCAGAGAGACAGAACCTGATCACTAGAGAGACAGAACCTGATCACCAGCAGAGACAACTTTGATTCACATTATAATCAGTTATAGAAACTATGGTGAATAAATGTTTTTCTTATAATGGAGGATAGTTTAGTTTAGCAACCAGAGGAGCAGATGATGAATATTTGCTAATAATCCCTCCTGTGTGGATTACCTGTGGCTCACATTGATGATGTCACGGGTGCGAATGTGCTGCTCCTCCACTTTACCAGCCAGGTATAAGCAGCTCATGGCCACCAGGTAGGGCTCATAGAGCTGCGATGTGACCCGCTGGAAGAAGCGGTGATATAGGAGGCAGGCTGTGGCCACAGGGACAGAGCGCATGCGCAGCTTCACTCCTGGAAAACAGGTGAATTTCACAGGATTAAATTAATTCCTGTATCTAATAGACTTTAACTAAAATCATTACTAAACCTTTATTCACTGCAGCACCTTTCTGCTGGATTTCTAACCCAAATCCTGGAGATTTATGATTCTAACGGGAATTAACTAATTATAACATGTTTAAACTTTTATAAACAAACATTTTAATGAATTTAGCAGTTGAGTAAAGTCCTATCTATGATCACTAGATCTAAATCCTCATCTCTGGTTAAATCATTTAGACTTTTATATTATTTTATCCCCTGATTAAATCAGAAAGAGGAAAACAGAACCAAACACCTGTCTCCATCATGAAGCGACACACCCGGAAGTGGGTCCTCATGTCCCGCGTGGGTTCCGACCCGGCGGCGCCGCCGGAGCCCAAACTGCCCGGCGGCCGGAGCTTCTCTGCCGGCTGGGCAGCTAACCGGCAGGACGGTCCCTCCATCCCACCTGCTCCGGAGAAGGTTAAAAATAACCAGAATGAAAACTAAACCAGCCTTTCCTGATAATCCCAAATAATCCCAACAGTAATGTTTGTTCTGAAAACCTAAAGCAGAATAAAGACAAACGTTTATTGTCTCATTTCGCTAGCTCTGTTGATTAGCACGTTAGCTAGTTGTTTCTGACACCGGAAGATAAATACACACACTTCCGGCAAATTCATTTCAAAATAAAAGCCTCTTGGAAATACAGAAGAATCTGTGATGATTTAGAAGAAATAAAAGTATAGTTAAACATGGGGGTTTCCTGTTTAATTATTATTATTCATTACTTAAAAACTGATAGAAATGATGAAAAATGTCCCTGATGTTACTCACTCAGAATGAGATCAAAGATATGAAAATGTATCTTTGATTTCCAAATGGTTAATTTAATGTTATATTAATTAGGCAATGTTCAAATACAAAAAGAATACAATAACACCACATTCAAACGGCGGTAATAATTTATTGTTGCATGAAAACAGAAAAATTAACAGCCTATACTTTTTAGGAATCTTCCTGATCGGCTTTCTACCAATCACCTTTAAGTTTGACTGAGTTGCTAAGCAACGAATCAACACAACGGATGCAAACTGATGCAGCATGTCTTCCAGTTTCTCGGCTAACCAGGTAAACAAACTTTCTGTCAATAAAAAACTGAAAAATGTTTATATATTTTTTTATAAATGATCTAATTTGCTGAAATATTTTAATTGAATAAAGTATGAAAGCGCCTTCAGAAGCCAGAGGCTGCAGAACTGGTGTGTGACTAAACCCTTTAAAGAGGTGAGCTGTTTATCTGCAGCCTGTTTCTCACTGTTTTAATCCATACTAAATATTCTAAGTTTCTCTAACAGCGTCCACGCACACGGGTGGGTCCCTCTTCCTTTGTAGCAGACAGCAGAGGGCACCTGCTCCCAGGGGTGAAGGTAGTTACACCTCCTGCTTTCATTTAAAGTGGCCCCACAGTGAATAGTTCTGGGTAAGGTCTCTGTGTGGTTCTTGCAGAAAGGCGGAGCCTGGCCAGACTACAAAGGTACCTGGGATCTACCAGCACGCATCGCGCCCCCCCACATCAACACCACCGCCCGTTCAGCGGCGGGTCTGGATCGACTGAGGACCTGGGGCCTGTGCCCACCGCAGAGGGGCCAATCACTTTCACCCAGCAGCAGCAGAAACACAGACAGGGGCCACCAGGTCAGGGCCACTGATTGATGGTCACTCCATCTTATTTCAGCGGCTCCCTTTAATCTATTTTCTCCACCTATTCCTGTCTTTAGCTTTTTCTTCTTCCAAAGGTTCATCAGGAAAAAGCAGCTAAACCTGAGCGTCTTCTATTACTATTTTAAATCTTTCTCTCCAATGGAGGAGATTTTCTCACACAGTCCAGGAAAATATCTTTAACCATTACATTTAAAAATTAGCTTTTTTTACTGTGTGGAAAAATCCCAACGGTTGCAGTCGGCTCGGCGGTTCATTATCTCTTCTGGGTTATTATTTTTCGTCATAAGGAAGTCATATTTAAATGTCAAATCATTCTGGCTTAAACATGTATATAAATGTACTCTTTATCAGACATTATTGTCCAAAATATAGAAAATTTCTATTTAAAAAAAACGTCCTGTCTTAAAATCTGTGGGTGCCTGAACACCTAATTCGGCCAATTTTGTTTATTTATTATTAGGATCCCCATTAGATGTGCTTTACACCCAGATACTCTTCCTGGGGTCCACATCATTAAAATACAGTATATGATGTAAATTCATGAACATGTTTGACAGATGACAAATATAAGTATATCAATAAGACTGAACAAAGAAAGTTACAATTTAAAATGTTAAATTTTTTTTTAATAAGTTACAATAAATTACAATATGAAACTATTTCATTTATAGATAAGTTGCTCCTAAAAACTTCTTAAGTTGCATTTTAAAAGCAGACTTATGTACAATTTTTATGAGAATTAATGGCAATGAGTTCCATTCTTTCATTGCTCTGTAAGCAAAGGTGCATTTGAGAAAATTAGTTTTCGCCCTAGAAATTACAAATCGTCCTTCATCTGCATGTCTCATGGCATAACCATGAGGGTCCAAATTATTCTTAAATTGAACAAACAGAAACAGTGGACTCTGTGGAGTTTTAAGATTTTCCACGTTGAGAATCATATATCAACAGTCATCTGTCAATCAATTTTTTTCAGTCCTAGCATCTTGATTCATATGTCGCAGCT